TATATATTTTTATTTTTTATAATATAATATTATAACATTAAATATTATATATTATTATAATATAATTTATATGTTCAATTATATTATATTATATATTAATTATATATTATAATTTATATATATATTGTAACATGAATTTTTGAGATATTACATTTTGTATCGTAATTACATTTTGTATACCAATTTTCAAGGAGATTCAATTAAAATCTTGTTTTTTTTTTTTTGATATAAAAATAATATGCTCATTAGATGAATCTGATTGATAAGAAATGAAGTAATAATCGAAAGATAGGATCATTTGATCGTCACCGAGAAGAGATTTTCAATGTGTCGTCGTCTTAGTTGTGGATCGTTAGATTGTCGGTAAGACATAGGAGTAGTAATTCAGAGGTGTAGCCGACTCAGAGGCCAGCAATGCGGTTCTCCAGTAACGTGTTGTTACACCCCGCTCGATCGAAATCGAAAGAAATGTCCTCTCCTCTCGCACACGATCGCGCGAAAGCGACTACTACTCAGCGCCTTACCAATGCAGCAATCGCGGTCTTTGCTGCACACCTTGCCAGGAGAGGACAAGAGAGTCCGGCAACTCTTGGGAGCGCTTTCGCAAAGCAACGACAATGATCTCCGTGGAAGGCAACCGGTTGCACGCGCTAAAAATACAAGCTGGACGACGCGGAACGCCAAAGAGGAGCCAACATCTACCTCTCTGCGTCATTGAGAGAAGGTAACGAGTATGTAATTTCAAAGGTTCGACCCTAACCCCTCTCTTACCTATTTTATCTTTAACATTTGTTAGATTTAACTAACTCAATGAAATATCTATTGTTTTTGATTATAACGTTTATCGTGTGAAACAGGACAATGAAATTATTCGTTAGGTGTTTTCAAAGGTAATCAAGTATTTGTTAGAATTCAATTTTATCTTTGAACGAAACATTTAGCGATAATATCATTCATCTATTTATGAATATCAAAGTCTTTTTCGATTTTCATGATATTCATATATCTCTTCTATTGAATATTATATCTTATTTTATGACAAAATGCAAATTATTATAGTCTAATGTATTTTTTTCTTCTTTTTCTCTGTTTTAGTTGAAAAGACAATTTGAGAAGATCGTTATTGTGTCACTATGCATTGATATCGAAGAATAAATCGTCTATGAAGAGAAAAAATACTTGTACAGTAGTATTGCCACGATGATGCTACCTGATTGATTTCAAAGCTCGTATTGGCAACTTACTCGTCTGTGGTTCGTTCGAGAAGAGTGCTCGGGGAAACATCGACGTGGCATGGAAACATCGGTAGTGCTCGTAACGAGCTTCGAAAACACGATAACTCGAGGGTATTTACGAGCGGGTGAGGTAGGAGCGCGAGAACGCGCTCGGCAGGTGCTCTCTTCGGCAAAAGGTGGCGTCTCGAGACAGCCTTGAGAGAGAACGAGAGAAAGAGACGCACCACCACGGGTCGTTGGATTCGACAAGCGAAGAGAAACAAAATCGGTTGGTTAGCTAGTCGTTTGGCTAGTAGTCGTTCTTTGGATCTTTCCTTTGCTCGCTCAACCGAATCCGACTCGAATGAAATTCAATGAATCTTTACCTATCATACTTTTTCCGTCTCTCTATCTTATCTTATATTTTCAATGTTATCTACTATTTCTTTTAGTTAAACGGTAATTAAGTGTCAATAATAATCATTGATGTTAACTTTATTGCTTATTTGTCATAACTCTTGGTCTTTGAATAAGATCGGAAAGGGGTTTCATTTCTAAACGTATTGAATAAGAGTCGTTCAAAATGAATGATACCCGTTAAAAGGAAATTTGTTAAATATAGGATAACAGGAAAGTTTGCTAAAAGTAGTTGTTCGATGCCCATTCGATGATATAAATATCTATTGAATACTCTCGTGAAATTTATGTAAACCGATGCAGAACTATAAATCCATGTACGGACGCAAATACATAAAAGCTATCGAATGTCTCTCCGATAAATATCTAACGCGATGATTCGTTCGATATTAGCGTCCTGGTAACCATTACGCGTTTCAGAGAAATCACGAGGCGCGAAGTAACGAATCGATGCTCGTTCCAATTTTCGAACATTGCCCTGTAATGCGTTTACCGTGGCTACTGACAACGTTCTGTTGGATTCATTTCATCGAATTTTCAACTATCGCCTCTCAGATTTATTTATTTCACAAAATTATCTCGTATACGAATGTATTTTCGTTTTGCTGGCAGTATACAAACGTGTTAGCTATGAATTTGAGGTTTTTATACCTACTCGAACTATGCATGTTTCATATTTGAAAATAACGGTCTTTCCGTTCGAAAGAAAAGAAAAAGGTTGTATACCTGAAAATCAGTTGGATTTACAGAAAATTCTTAGCAAAGGCTATTCTTACGAAAAGGATAGAAAACGGAGAATGATTGACACAGAACAATGAAACCCTGCTAAAGACCAATGGATGGACTTTGGAGAATCGAACTATGAGGTCCGGTATCCTATTCTTTGGGTCCTTTTAGTTTAGTTTTCTTTCTAAACAAAATTTATTGCTGAATCAGGTAAAGAATTTTCTAAATACAAAAAGTTATTCAAACAGCTTAACTTCGTAGGAATGCATCCAAGTAAGAAAAACATTTTTTACATTTTTTCTAAGAATATTCTCGAAGAAGTTGAATTCAACAACGATAGTTCGAAGAAACTTAACTTAATAATTTTAGTTCTCAATTTACTCGTTCATTTGATAATCACAAATCGAAGTAATTTCATTAGCTATTCTCAGAGATAACATTTCTACATTTAGTTAACATATTGTTCCGATGCTAAAAACTTCACATCGATTTATCGTATCGTTTTTAATCTTTTTTTAAGTTGTAACGGAAAGAGAACGAAAAGGACATGGGATCAATAATGACTTTTTTTCAAACGAAAAAGAAATATTTTACTCTTTGTGATGTATGCAGCCACCCACAGTGGTGGCATTTGAAAATCGTTGAAAAAATTGAGAATGCCAACCTGGCGACATAATGTGTCGTTAATGATCATAAAATTATAGAAATGAAAAATTTATATTTTTATGTGTATTATAAGTACTATTAAATATAACAAATTAGTTTATTTTTAATATTCATATATTTGCTTGTAAATCATTGAGGGTGAAATAATTCCTAAAATTGAAATTTTGTTCTCCTATTAGTTAGTTGATTAGAAAAATTTGCCGATCGCAAAGAATTAACGGAGCGAAAAGTCTCGTGCTCGTCTTGATATCCGGCAGAGCTTTCCTTTCGAGCAGTAGGTACGTTGCTCGACGTTGTGTTTAATTTATAGCTTTATAGGAGGCTCGAACGATTCAAGCAAGCTTTACGACCTCAACGATGCATCGCTATTATTCCTATGTAGTCGTAAATTTCCTTCCTGTTGCATTTCCCTCCTTGTCGATGATCGCACGCGAGTTTGATCTTTGCTAAAACTCCGCAGGGATTACAAAAGAGATCTCGCATAATAAAATGAACAAAAAAAAAATAATAATAATAAAAGAAAAGACAAGAGGAGAGAAAAGCTTCCTTGGCATAGTTTGTTTCAACTTTAGTCAGTCGAATTGGAAATGATATTTGTTTGTCACGGGATCGAAGAGGTTGTATCAGGGTTGGTTACGGGGGTTTATCGCACCGGAAGAACATAGCCGACGTGGCGTGGCGTGGCGTGGCGTGGCGTGGCCAGATATAGACGAGGTGGTAGCTGATGATGGTAGTGTCGGGTGGTTCACCGGGGGTGTGTTGAGGAGGGAAAGTTCGCGAACATTGCTGGGGGAGGTGAACGTTGGAGCGAGGGAGAAGAAGAATAAGAAGAAGAAGAAAAAGGAAAAAGAGAAATATAGGAGGCAGCACACAACATGCCGTGTCGGCAGCGCACGCGGCCGCCGCCAGAGCTCGTCGAAGAGAGACGATAGGTTGCGAAGGTTGCCGAACGAGGCCGGCCGGCAGCGAAGTTGTCGGCGAGGTTGTCGGCGAGGTTCGTAGCAGCGAGGTTGGCAGCGATAGCTTGAAGGAGAAGGGCGCAGGACCACGTGACTACGGCAGCCAATCGGGTGAAAACAAAGCCGGCGTCTGGCACATGGCGACGCGCCGGCTTCGGCATCCGCAGTCGCAGTACGTCGCAGTCAGTCGCAGTGGTAACACGAGCAAGAGGGTAGTTGCACGCGCCTGCTTTAGAGAGGAAAGACCGCGGACCGAGATCGAGAGAAAGAGAGAGAGAGAGAGAGAGAGAGATAGATAGAAAGAAGAGAAAAGAATTACTGGCTAGTCGACAGAAAGAAGGAGATACCAAGCACGCCCGGCTTTGTGTAAGAGAGAGAGAGAGAGAGAGAGAGAGAGAGAGAAAGAAGAGAGAAGAGAGGGAGAGAGAAAGAAGAAAGGCGTGCGTGTAGTAGACGAGGGTGGGAGAGAGAGAAAGAAAGAAAGAAAGAGAACGAACGCTTCTCTTAACTTTGTTTGCCAGTAGTGTGCTCAGTCGCGCGACGACACTCTCCAACGATTCGAGTTAGTCTCTCTGTGTTGGTCGCTTAGAAAATTAAGAAAGAGTTGGAGGACATATGCGATCCGTGTCCTATTCGATCAAAGAAAAGATTTGAAGAGGACGTAAGTAAAAGATTTACGAACGAACGAATTACGAAGACGACTACGACGACGACGACGATTAACACCGCCGCCGCCAACAACCCTGACGAGCACGACAAGAAGTGGTAGTTGCTGCCGAGAACTCGAACGAACAATTTTTTTTCCTATCTTTTGGGAGCAGTCGCAGTATTAATCATTCAAATATATAACCATCCATTTTTATTCGTCTGTTCTGCGTTTAGTGTTTTGATCAAAGAAAAAAAATTTCGCTTCGTTTAACGAACGAACAAGAAACGAATACGAGAGAATAAGAAAGAGATAGATAAAAAGAGCAGTGATAGCAAAACGGAAAAGAAAAGTGAAAAGGCTAAGCAAGAAATAGAAAAGGAAGGAAAAAATACAATTTACAACTACGTACGTTATTATTAACGTTCGTTATTTTTATACGGTGCATCGCTGCTTGCTTTTTCCTTCGCTCCTTCTCTTTCGTAGTACGCGCGCGAAAATCGTTTTCAAATATCTCTCGTGTGTCGAGTGTACGCGAACGACGAACGTTTTTCATTGGACGGACCAAAAGGGCCGCTCCGACTTTAAAAATATATAACAAAAAAAAAAAAAGAAAGTGTGTGTTGGTGCGCGCATCGAGGTGAAAAACAAAGAGAAGAAATAGACGACCAGGAGTAAAATCTCGGCTTCTAACGTTGCTAAAAGAAAAAACTAAGAACATTTTTCAAAGTAATATTCATCAAAGAGATATCATCAAAATGCCGACAAGTCTTTTTAGCGATATTGATCGTTGTAATGGGGTACCCAACTCCATAGAAGAGCAACGAGCTCTTCAACTTGCGTTCGAGCTCTCGATGCTTGGACTCGATCAAAGCACGCCCGTATGTCCCGGTACCGGAACAAGCGCGGTACCTGGTGCTAATCCCGACCCGGATCCTCTACAAAATCCACCAAACAGCGTTTTCGAAGAGGCCCGTTCGAAAAAGAGCCAGAACATGACCGAGTGCGTGCCGGTGCCCAGTAGCGAGCACGTGGCTGAGATCGTCGGCCGCCAAGGTAAGCGTAAACTTTCATTTCACGCATATTTTTCTTCTTTTTTACTTTTCATTTCGTTTCATTCATCGAACTAACGTATATTTTGCAAATATTTTTTTTTAATTCTTGATTTTTTTTTTATTTTTCATTTTTACTGTGTAACGCATGTGTTCTATGTTCGAGAAACCACGAGTTTCGTCTATCGAATAATCGAAATCCTACGATCCCCATTTTTTCTTTAGTTTCGTTGATGCGTTATTTATTTATTTTTCATTACTTCATTCGAAATTACACTTTGACAAATATACAAAATGTTAGACGATAATATTATACTCATATTATGCTATTTGCTGTTAACATAGCGTGTCGCGAGTAGAGTTTGCATCGTACAACCGACCAGTCCGTCCCTTATCGTTATCTATTCTTTCTCTCTCTCTCTCTCTCTCTCTCTCTTTCTCTCTTTCTCCTTTCCTCTCTTTTTCTTCCTTTCTCTTTCCTTCGTTTCATCGTTTTATTTCACGACGTGCTATTACGATAATAAAAGCGTGAGAAACAATAACTCGCTCTATTTTTACGAACAGAATGACTTTTTCGTCCGGTTTATCGAACGTTTGAGGAATTTCTTTGTATAGAAAAATAAAATAAATAAATGTATATTTACAATTAAAAAAAAAAAAAAAAACAAACAACATTTATAATAATCCTTAAAAGTAAGACGAAAAAAAAAAATTGATGATATATAATAAGGAATGATCTCTTATAGGTAGATTTTTTCGTATATCATTGCATCGTTCGAAAAAGAAATAATATAATGGTCGAGAGAGAGTATGGGGTAGAAGGGGTAGGAAAGGTTGGGGGGAGGAAAGGGAAAAGTAGCTGTACGTCGATATACTCTCGACGCGATGCGCCACGGGACGGTTCATTGGCCACGAGGAGTCGTCGTAGTGTGGTACAAATGCGAGAACGCACCGCGGGAAACTCGATACCCGAGTAAACGTCGTCGATTAAAGCCAATTTACGTTCGAACGAGCGAAATTCCCTTTCCCTACCCTTCCCTTTCTCTCTCTTTCTCTCTCTCTCTCTTTAATTTTTTGTCCTAGGTCATGTTCTCTTGCAATGTATCTTTAAAACTCTCTCAAGACTCATAGGAGGAACTTAAGAAAAATTTGTAAATTTTAAATATGAACTTCTTTACAGGGAAAGTATATTATCATTAAAGAATAAAAAAAAATAACAAAAGAAAATAAAAACAAGACAAAAATCAGGAAAAAAGAAAAGGAAAAAAAAGTTTCTCGCACATGGGGGGAAAGTGGAAGCGCACGCGTGCGCGCGCGCGTTCATTGGTTCGTTCGTTGGTTCGTTCGAGGTACAACCTTCACTGGCTTCCCCCTGTCGTAGGTCGCGGCTCGTTTCTCTCGACCTTCGAATAAGACGACGAATCGTCGTCGTTGTCGATCCTTTCGTTCGTTTCTTCTTTCTCTTAAACGATCATGCATATATTTCGTTCTCTCTCACTCTCTCTCTCTTTTTCTGTATCTTACTTTATCATTCTTTATATATTCTTTATCTTTTATCTCTCTTTGACGTCTCGATCGAAGCTCTCGAACGATACACATTGCTGCTCGCACGTCTCATAAATAAAGAAGGCTCGTGTTCTGCGTCCACGAAGTCCGACGAGACGCATCCGAAAGAGAAAGATGGAGAATAGTATATCGTCAAGCAAGCAAGTAGTAGCCTTGACGCACAACTCGGTGGCAATGCTACTTTTGCCGGCAAGTTTCCGACTCTTTTACCTCTCTTCWCTTCTCTACTCTTCTCTTCTTTCCGATCCGTTTCAGGGTATTTCAGGTTCGCTAGCACCTCTTTCTCTCTCTCTCTCTCTTTTTATGCTTCGTTCATCGACCGATGGTGTCCTGTCTCTCTACCCTACGGTCTTTCCCCAAGGCCGCTTCCGAGAAAGGTGCCAGGTGTAGGTGCGCTTTGTTCGGATCGTACATAATCGTTTCTACATGGACACTACTATGTGAATCTACCAGGGTTCTTGCGTAGACTCGTGAACTTTTAAATTAAAACATCTTTTATATCGAATCTCTGTTTTTCACTCTTTTTGTTTTTATTCTTGTTTTTGTTTTTTTTTATTCCTCATATATTACAAAAATATCGACTGCCTACGATCGTCTCTCTCACCAGTAATTTTTTATCATCATATATTTTTTTCTCTCATTCTTTCTCTCTCTTTCTTACTTTTATTTGTACAATGCGTAGGCGTAAACGAAGCGGAAGTATCGATAGAATCAAGGCAATGGCTCTCTCCCGCTCGCTTATAAATTTACGATCCTGCGATATTTAACAAAACACGTTGTTGAGAGTTTCTTCAAAAGGGTTTTGTTTAAAAAAAAAATAAAAATAAAAAACCTCGAAACCCTGTGGGTAAAATGTATCGCGGAAGGGGAACCCTACCTCCGACCGGATGAAATAAGTATTCTAACCATAAACGAATCAACGTGTACTTTGAGTTTGAAATTATACTAACGTCTTTATATTATGACCATTCTTAATCGTCACGTTTAGTTGTATTATAATTTTTCATACAAAGATGTCATAAACGTGACATTTTTCAAAACGAAATTCTTCCCACGGTTTTGATTTTCCCTTTTGTTGAACGAGAACGTTCGATCTAGTCGTATAATAATCGATTAATTTCCATTTACACTTGTCAGACACTTTCTGTAAAACAGAAAAAGGAAATTGGAGAAGAGACGAGAGTGTAACGCGATTTATACTTGACTCTTGTTGTGTCTAGTCGCTATTAGAACAGAAAACGGGTGTCTAGTTTTACAAAGTAGAAAGTTCGAAGTCGATCGCGCGTGCCGATGATCGATCGTACACGATTAACTACGATAGAAACTGTTTCGAGAGGTAGTTAATCGTGAACGATTTAAATATCCTATCGCTTTCGACGCGTTGCGTTTATCTAAACTATTCCTATCGCGCGTTCTATCTTGTTTATTTTCTTTGACAAATATCAAAAGAAAACAAACATATATATATATATATATATATATATATATATATATATATATATATATCTATAATCGAAATAATCGTTCCGGGAGTAGTACGATAATCTAAGGATGTGGAAAAGGTAAACGATTCGTCATCGGATGTAGGAGGAAACGGCGTACGTTACACGCGGGGAGTGTTAATATCGTGCGTACAATAACATCCTCGTAGATCATCGTCGTCGTCGTCGTCGTCGTCGTCGTAGTAACCGGTAGGAAGGAGGAACGGTGTCAAACCGATCGCGTTTTAAATTCAGGCCTCGTTGCGATTCACGTACGTGCTTATCGTTCCTTCCGTTCTCCCTTAGCTCTTTGTCCTCTTATTCTTTCTTTCTCTATCTATCTGTTGGTACCCCACGAGTTGAGAGTCACTGCCATGGTCGTGCGACCGAATCACGCGAGCGAGACACAAGGGAAAGAAGGGGGGAAGAGCTTTCGACTGTATATATATATATATATGTACCCGGAGCGAGTGTGGAACGCGAAGATCGTCTCTCTGTCCATCTTTCTTTCTCCCTCCTACGGCGTCTTCCTTTTATTTCGGGACGATTACGCGTCACGAAGATGCACCGTGGCACGACTCTCGAAAGATTCGTTTCGTCCGAGTAGGATCCAACAAATTCTACTTCGACGAATTACGTTCCAGGGATTTGTCTCAAATCAACCAATGTTTTATTAATTTATTTTCAATCGAATAATTCATTAATTAAATCCCTATGTGTAATTACTTGTTACGTTAATGCATTTCAAAACATATGCGTATGTTAATGATTTTTTTTTTAGCTTAGGATGCTGATCTTTTTTTTTTGGTAACAACCAGTTAAAGTACTTTACGAAAAGAAGGTTCAATAGAAGAGAGGAGTACCCTTCTCAGCGCCAGGAGAAGAAACCGGCGGGGTTACGCATTTACATGCTCAACGTTCACCGAAGAGACCGTTTTCTCTATCTTATGTGTTAGCTCTCACTCATTCTCTCTATCTTTCTCTCCTCCTCTCTCTCTCTCTCTCTCTTCTATCTTTTAAACGCGGCGTATTGTGTCTCGTAGATCGGGACGCGAGCTTTTTTCCCATTGAGTCGCGCGCGCGCATTCTGGCCGCCTCTAAAACCAGTTTAACATACCTAGTCATGAATCATTCCCATAACTCGAAAGTCCGTGGACTCGCGTGGCCGAATAGCGGGCTTCCAACTTCTATATATGTACAACGATATATATATATACGTACAACGATATATATATATACGTACAACGTTTATACTTGCATATCTGTCTATCTTTGCTTTGTACATTGCTTTTGCATTTCTCTGTCTGTCCTTTTTTCTCTCTCGGAAGTTCGACCGAGTGCGAGAAGATGGCAATTTTCTCTTGAACGCGACCGCGTCGATCCAATAACGACGTCTAATGAGTTTGATACGCCGTTCCATTATGAGGATGTAGCTATTTGTTAAGCATTTTCGCTCGATCGTGTCTCGCTCTGTCTTGCTTCAACTCGTATCTCGTATATAGTATCATCTAGTGGAGCAAAAGAGAAAGAGTATGGTCGTGTTCTCTCTCTCTCTCTCTCTCTCTCTCTTTCTCTCTTACTCTTGCTCTCTCGCTCTCGTAGACCGGAAGCTGTAATGAACGCCTCCGTCGACGTACTCTCGTCGCCTCGCGCGTTCATCGCGTCGTGCTCGACGATGACGTTACTTTGGAAACATCACGGCTGGTTATCCAGGTCGTTAGCTCGTGCACACACCGCCTGACTCTCACCAAGAGGGAATGATTTACTATAGGGAATAATAAATACAAAAAAAAAAAAAAAAAAGAAATGTTCTTCGTAATTGTAACTACTTAAACGAAATTAAAATATACCTACTTCTTTTTATTGAACGCGATTCTAATTCAGGGTCAGAATAATTCATCGATCTATATAACTTGGAAATATGGTTTTACACGGTTTTGTAAAAACTTAATGGACA